CCAGACCTGTCGTATATTTTACGAGCAGTCAGTCTGCTGTTATCTAGAAGGATTTCTCAAAGTCTCAAAACAAGATCAAAAAGACTTTTTGGCTGATATAAGATTTTAAAACTTGGTTAGATGGACATTTTTTGCAGTGTAAAAATCAAATTACCTTGATTAATGGAACTCATAAAATTGGTTCCAGTTTGCCTATGCTTCGACACTAAGCATCTATCATTCTGTCCACACAAGAACACAAAGTCATTCCGTTTAAGAATATGCAGTTTGGCATTTACCTGGAAGTTTTGCACATTTCATGACAAAAGATGGTGCACAGAGCAACAAGAATTACCTTGGTTCATCCCATCTTATTTGGCCCATAATGCCTTCCATCCACATTAGGTTTTCTCGCACCACAGAGAAGAACTGCACTTTGTCAGTTACTGAAGTCACTTGGATACGACTGGCCTCACAAGAGCTCAGCAGGTCCTTCCATGTCTCCATCACTTCCTGTTCTTTTACCATTATGGCCTCAGCCTTCTCACCAGCATAAATGGTCCTCAGCTGAGCAGCATTCTCCTGCAGCTGRCTCACCTGAATATAAAGAGAAGAATGGTGGTTACTGGCTAAATATCCCAAAATTAGTTTCTTCTACAAAATACAAAACGTCTTTGAGCCTTTAATTATTAAAAGAGTTAGCACAAAGTCTTTCTGGTTGGAGTTTGCATGTGTCATTTTATAAACCTCAAAGATTTTCACGCAGAAATGGCTTATCAGATATTCATGAAATTTGTCACAGACCTTTAGACTCTCACCCTGACCCTAAACTAAAGGCAATTATMCACAAATAAAGTGGCAAAAACAACCTAGCTTTACTTGAAAGAATGTTTTTGCCTACCACCTTTCATTCCAAAATTTTATATTGACATCATCTTATGTTTAGAGATTATAAATACGTTTATATATGGCTGTTTCTGTCAAACCTTGAAAAAAGAAGATAAAAAGTGGGACCTAATGCTAAAATGCAATATGAAGGTGATAGCCTGTTAGCATTTYGTGTATCTGTTATGAATGACACAGCTACTACCCAATCAAATTTTAGTGCAATAAGTGACACAGTCCACAGGGAGGCATCCAGGGGACCTGTGAAATGCACCAAGTTATAGTCATTTTTGTGTAGGTGGCTGTCTTGAATTGGGTTGACTCCCAAGGTTAACAGGTTGCAGATGCACAGCTAGAGATTACCTTTAGAACGTTTCATTAAAATCCGTCCAGATGGATATTTTGCTAACAGATAGTTTGTTTCAACATTCACTAGTTTAGTTTTAAACACAGATCTTTTAAATTAAATTAGCACGTGTAGCAGGTMTGTGATCAGTCTCAGCTAAAACCAAATCAAACTTTAGCTTATCATCTGTAAACCTGATGAAATACTGTCAGTTTTACGGTTGCAAAATATTTCTYTTCTGCTGTAACCATCTCGTATCAAGCTGACTTCAAAAGTCGTTTAGTTATCGATGACAAACCAATGATTGTTTTCTGTACTTTTAATAAAATTTGGTCTGTGTTTTACAAAATATTCTTTTAAAGTAAAAATAAAAACACACTCACAAAAACATAGGAAAAACATTATCACACTGTCTTTGCCATCAGCAGCAGGTTTATTTATTTATTTATTTATTTGTTTGTTTGTTTGTTTGTTTTACTTTGGGAGGAATTATTTCACTTGCCTGTGCAACTAGCAGTTGAAGGGCATGTTCAAAGGAGTGCATAAGTCTCTGCAGGGTAGCTGGATTGGTGATGTTGACCTGGCACGCCCTCACCTCGGGCAGTTGCTTCATCTTGCCTGCAATCTGTGCCGAGACCTACAACACAAGGAAACATTGCCAACTAGACAAACAAGTGTGCATTGCAAATGGAGCATGCGGTTGTCTGAAACGATGCTTGTGGCATGAACAAACGTGACTCCCGACATGATCTATTGAACACCACCAATCACGTCAGCTAACTCTCCCTGTTCTGAAAAAGCTGTTTTAGAGACAAAATTCTATCCTAGCTTCAATAATCTGTCCGTGTCTGCAGATAATGCTGACACAACAGCATGTTTTAATTTTTAAGATTTATTGTAAAGAAAATAATCATCAACACGATTTTCCCTTTAAATGTATTTTATTTCATGTGTGTATTATCTTACTGTGATCTAAAGATGATTTCTGAACTGTCATTTAATTTTCACATCAGTGTTAATTGAACTGACTGTTCTTTTTTCTTTCTCTTGAGTAGATGAGAAGGAAACGACAGCTGCATGCAGGCTGTTTGACCATGACACTACTCTATCCAGTAAACATATTTCTTCCAGAAAGAAATATTTTGACTTCGGTGACAAGAGACCCGGGCCTGTATTTATCAAATTTCTTAGAGTGGATTTACTCCTACTCTCATACTTAAAGAGTAGCTTACCCCAAAATTAACTTTTTTTAGCTGATAAAC